ATTGCATAGGCCGCTTAAGCGGACCCTTATGCACCTCTACATTCCTTAGATCACAAGCCTCGCCCTTTTAGCGAAGTTGAGAATTGCCTTGAGTCCAAGCTCCTTGATGTCCTGAGGGTCCAAAGCAACGGACCCCAGTATAGTCTGCCTATAGTAGCTCAGAGCTTCACAGCGACACAAAAGTGCGCCGAGGTCTCTTCCTCTACCTCGCAGCGTTCACACAAGGGATCCTCAGCCACCCTCACGTGCAGGTGGCGCCTTAACGTGTTATGGCCAGAAAACAGTCCCACCAGCAGCCTTAGGTTGGCTCTATCCAGAGATAGGCAGAAACCTCCATCCTTAGCACTGGGCCCTTCAATGAGTTCCCGTGCCTGTCGGAGATGTCTGGAGCTGCTTCTCCATTTCTGAGAGTGTTGACTTGTAACCCACGTCTCCATTTTTCTCCTAGCTCTATGCGCGGTCACTCCTAGAGCTGGCTCAGGACCAACGAGCTTGCTGGCTGATCCTGTCTTCGCCAGAGTGTCCGCCGTCTCATTGCCCCTTATCCCAGCGAGCCCCGGTACCCACATTAACGATACCGGATGCCTCGTTGCGAGGCAATCCAGAGCCTCCCTGTATTGCAATACAAGACTCGAAGTAATCTTACAGGCACTTAGTGCTTTCTTTGCAGCCTGGCTGTCGGATAAGATTGTTATTCTTCTCCGAGGCCGACCCTCCTCCAGAATGTGAGATTCACAAGCCAGAATTGCAAAGATTTCCGCCTGAAAAATAGTGGTGTATCCACCGAGAAGCAGAGATAGAGTAGTTCTGGTCCCAGAGACCCCAGCGCTTGAGCCCTCTTCGGTGACCGAGCCGTCCGTATACCAGACCTGCCCGCTCACTCCGGAGAGCCTCCGGCAACAGGCGTCCCACTCCTCCCTAGTTGGATACTCCACAATAAACTTGCGGTTGTAGCGATATTTTGGAGTAATACGATCACCCGTGCTTAGAAGGACGGGGTCCTCCCTTTGAAATTCGACTTAGATGGCAGTATGCCCCTTGACAGGATTCAACAAAGCCCAGCTGTCCTGACTCCACAGTCGATGAGCGACTACTCTCGCTTCACCGCGAATCACCAGATCCAACGGTGGGAGATCCAACAGACCTTCCATTGCACTCAATGGCGTTGTTCGCACTGCGCTAGTAATGCTAATACAAGCCAAACGCTGAATTTTGTTGAGTTTGGCCTTAGTTGTCTCAGTTCTAATGCAAGGCCAGCAGATCAGGGAGCCGTACAAGAGAGATGGACGTACTATCGTCGTGTAGAGCCAGTATACTACTTTGGGTTTAAGCCCCCACCTTACACCGACAACAAATCTACAGGTCCACATTGAATTGCGAGCCTTGCTAACCTTGTATTCAACATGCTCTCTGCAGTTTAGTTTGCAATCCAGGATAATTCCCGTATATTTCACTGATTGGGATAGAATTAATCTAGTCCCAAAGAAGGTCGGCATGACCAGACCGTCAAGCCTTCTTCTCCTGGTGAATAGGATCAGCTCGGTCTTTTCAGCATTAACTGAAAGATCGACTTCCCTGCACCACGATTCAATACAAAAACGTCCCCTAACTACTAGGCTTAAGTCATTAGCATAGGCTTGCACGTAGACACCCACACTGCTGAGCCTAACGAGGAGTTCGTTCACCACGATGCACCACAGTAGGGGTGACAGAACTCCGCCCTGAGGGCAGCCTCTAGTTACGCTGACGCTGCAGCTTACGTCATTCAGCATAGCTGTAGCTATCCGATCCTCCAGAGTAGATAGGATTCAATCTATTAGGATTGATCTAACCCCGTGTCTAACCAAGGCATGTCTGATAGAGTCGGTTGTGGTGCAATTAAATGCACCTTCAATGTCCAGAAAAGCCACGAGTGCCACTTCCCAGCTTGGTATACAAACTGATTTGCATGAATGACACATCTTTCCAGCGGGCCAACCCTTAAGTATCTATCAACCTTCCTTTCAAATGACTTAAGCACAAATCGGACGAAAATCCTTCGGGCCAGTATATCTAGCTCTGCCCGGTATAGGAATGAATGCCACTTTAGCCTGCCGCCAGCTTCTAGGTGTGAAGCCCGTGGCCACACATGCTCGAAACACCTTCAACCAGTGAGGAACAACCGAACTCTGTCCATACGTTGCTCTGCTTTGAATGCTGAGGGATGACTGAACGATGATGTTTGTATTTGTGTATATACGAGGGATGTCTTTTGCATATAGAAACATAGTAGGCCGCGCGGATCGAACGTCAGTACTGAATCTTAACCTTACTCTTTAGTAAACTTAAATTCAAAGTTTCACAGCAATACGTACAGTGTTCTCACTACAGTCAAAGTTTAAAAGCTACTACACACAGTGCCGGCGACAATGCCGCCGGGTTTATGCCGAGCGGCTATGCCGTCGGCAATTCAAGCCGCCGGCACAAGCCGCGCAAAGCCGCCAAGCATCATTCCGGTTGTGACAGTCACATAGAACGCTAGTGATGTGCATATTTTATGGCTGGTTGGTTAAAATGAATAAGGAAATCATCAGCACAGCCGCCGCAGTTGTAATTTTTATTTTAATAAGCAAAAAATACAAAAGGACGAGAAGGATTTGGTTGCACCCAAGTTTACAAAATAGAAAATGGCGGAACGGTGATGTAATGACAGAACAGTATGAAAAAGATGATGTGGAGTGTCAGTGTTTACGCAATACCATGTTTTTTGGGTTTCTGTACATCGTCTGTGCCTGCACCAGATTTGTGCAACTGTTCGAACTTCTTTTTGTTCCGAAAATAATGAGAGGTTACATTTTTTAACTTTCTCTCTACTTCGCCTTTATCAATGTCAAATACACTTGCAATTATGTTCAACGCGTCCATTCGATTGTTCCTATTCTTATAGTCTGCATTTCTGGGATTCCATAATATATCATTTTCATGAAATTTTTCAACTAAGAGCAGCACAGCTTCGTCGTCCCAATTAAACGACATTTTAATTTGTTTAAACACACAAACCGCACAACACTACCGCTCGAATGCCAGGAACGAAGTGACGCCGGCAAGCTGCGTAACCCGCCGGCACACCCCGGCGGCTTTGTGTGCCGCCGGGTGTACGGAGGCTTAGCCGGCGGCACTGTGTGTAGCAGCCTTAAGTGTCATCAAGTCATTAGAAAAATGAAACTCAACCGAGAACATTTTCGCGCCATAATTTGTTACAACTTTCAGAGACAATTATCACCAAGAATGCCTTGCTTAGTTTTCGGCAACGAAGCGCCACATCAGTCGACAATTTCCCGTTGATATGGGGAACTCAAACGTGAACGGGTGAGTCTTAGCGACGATCCCAGGGTGGGTGCACCAAAAACGGCAGGAAAACGTCGATGCTGAGCGCAAACTCATCATTGAAGATAGACATGTGACATATCGCGAGATTGAGGCGTCCTTGAAGATCTCAAAGACCTCAATTCAAAAAATTTTACATGAAGAATTAGGAGTAAGAAAATCAGTTTCTCGTTGGATACCTCACCTGTTGACTGAAGAGCAGAAAGCAGCCAGGGCTAATTGATGTCAAAAAACGCTTGACCGTTTCAATTCCGGAAACTCAAAAAATGTGTACAGCATTGTTAGTGGTGATGAATCGTGGATTTACTGTTATGAACCAGAAAATAAACGACAGTCGGCTGTTTGGGTGTTCCAAGGTGAAGAAAAGCCAACAAAAGTCATCCGTTCTCGAAGTGTTTTGAAAAAGATGGTCGCGACATTTGTCAAAAGCGGGTCATATTGCAAGAATTCCTCTCAATGAGCAAGGAACTGTTACTGCGGATTGGTATACCATCATTTTTTTGCCAAAAGTCATCACCGAGCTTCGAAAAATCAATCCCGAAAGAAGAATCATCCTCCACCAAGACAATGCAAGCTCGCACACAGCCCAAAAAACAAGGCAGTATTTAACGGAAGAAAACGTGGAATTATTATCTTCCATATAGTCAGGATCTAAGTTCTAACGATTTCTTTACTTTCCCGAAAATTAAAAACAGACTGCGTGGTCAAAGGTTCCAGTCACCAGAAGAAGCAGTTGACGCATTCAAAAATGCCGTTTTGGATATGCCAGCAAACGAGTGGAATAAGTGCTTCGAAAATTGGTTCGAGCGCATGCAGATGTGTATTAATCTTCGTGGAGAATACTTCGAAAAACAATAAAGTCATTTAAAACTACCTACCGTGTTGTTTTATTTCCATATGCAAAACTTAAAAGACATCCCTCGTAACCCCGAGCTGGATTGCGACGTGGCTGGATGGTCGGTCCTGTCGGTCGGGCGGTCGGTTAGATCGCATTGTTGGCCGTGTTGTTGGACTATACATGCTCGTAGCCAATGTTTTTCTAAGAGAGACTAGCTTGTGCCAAATATAATCCTTTATGAATTGATGACAGCGTTGCGTAGTAAGTACAGGGTCAACCTACCTGACGCCATTTGTTTTTTGTTTTTAGAAAATATCAATCAGAGAACGTTTCATTTTGGAGGACTTTTCATACTCTGCAAATTTCCCATGAAGCATACTTATAGCTTTAGGAGTAGTTTGTCATCTGTGACCGTCCGCGCACTTCAATAGTGAAGACTTCCGGGGTCTCCAATGCCTACACCCTACTAATGTTTGCTAAAACGGATAAAACAACACTGTATACGTTTGGTTATGAAAACTGAGATGGAAAGTAAATATGTCCTATTTGCAATAAAAAAGTTACATTTTGAAAGCTTCTGCTAACTCGACAGCCGAGTTACGCAACATGCGTATCCGACCATCAAATTTCATGGGATATCCGATCCGTCGATCTGCCATCTGTTGTAGTCATTTCTCCTCCTTTCGCCGGATTCATAGAAGAGAAACCGGCGTCATCGACTTGATGGTGCTTCGTCGACAAGAGCAGCACCATCAGACCAACAATCGGTACTAGTGAACACCAACACGGTAATAATGACGATTAGAACGTGCGAATCGCGTGTTTGAAAAGCGAGAAAGTACCAGTGGTATCAAGTGAAACATGGAATTATGTAAATTCTGACAGTAGTCGCGCGCGACCTTGAGGATGTTACGATGGCCTTGACAGACGGACGTGTAGGACGAAATTGTGTGTTTTGGTGGCTAGTTGTGTTCATTGCATCGGTGGAGAGGTGTAGTGGGGGTAAGTACACGGTGATTTTAAAAAATTCTGGACTCTACATGAGAAAGATTAGTTATCTAGGCAATCCAGCGAAAGTTCTGGGTGAAATTGTAAGTGGAAAAGTTTAAACGTGTGAAAAGGGATTATGGGTTGTGCCAGGAAATAATGTTCCGCTTCAATTTATTTGCAAAAAATAGTGTTAGGAACAATTATGCAACTTTTTCATCAAGCGATTTTATTGCTAAGGAAATAAACCTTGGCTCCTTTTTTAGCTCTAAGACACTTACAGACTGAAATTTTGAACATCAAAATCGGGCAAAAGAAAGTTATTACAATAAAACCGCTCAAATTCGGATAATTTACTATTTACCTTGATCACTTTTGCTTGCACGCCACTGACACCTAGTCCTGTCATGAATATGTTCTGTGACACGTTATAAAAGCACAAATAATTCCAAATCAAAATATCTTTATTGCAGCTAAAATCGTTTTTAATAAAAATTTATTCTACAGCTCAGGGAAATCCCACAATTGTCGGCTGCTTTTTATTTTGTAGTAAATAGTTCATTATAAAGATTGAAATGTACCGCATTGTGGATATAAATTTTGATAAAAAGATGCTTTTAGAATGAGATTACGGTTAATAATATTATGTATATACCATTTTAAAAATGTTTAATAATTCGAAAAAATTATGATTATTGTGTTGTGTTTATGTCCAAAGCTTACAACAGTTGGCGAAAAAATATATACACAGGTTCAACATCCCTTTGCCTTCCTCTTGGAGAAACAAAAACTCGTTGGTTGTCAGAGCGGTCCATGGAACCTTAGCTCTTGGGTCACAGTGTCAGTTTGTAAGTCTGTCAGGTCTGGCAACCCAGAAACCAGACAATTTTGAGGAAAAAAGGGAAGAAAAGGAGAAAAGGAAGAACGAGAGCAAAGGGGAAGAATATAATCTTTTAGGATAGGCAGCGTTTAGGCATTGTTAAAATCACTTCACAGATTTTGATGTGGTCTAAGAATATTAGATTTTTTTTCTAAAGATTTTGTCAAAATGCTCCAATTTTTGTTGTTCTAAGTTCACGAATTAATTTTGATTACAGTGCGAGCCGCGGCCTTTTATGCTTGCGAACTTGCTTGACTGTGTAGTCCACTGACTCACGCAACATAGGGTGGCTGTGCGATTCCGCTAGGCTATGGCTATAGCGCCGCTGCGCCTGTTGCCTAATGTAGTGCTTTAGGTAAGGGACATCGAGGTCTCTATGTAGAGTTTCGTTAGAGACATACCATGCGGCGTCAGCAATAGCGCGCAACGTCGTGCTTTGCAGAACCTGCAGATTGCGCATGTGTGTTTTAGCAATAAAACACCAAGCCGCACATGCGTATGTCATTGCTGGTCTTATGACCACCTTATAGAGTCGAATCTTGTTAATCAACCTTAATTTTGAACGTTTACATAATAATTTTTAGCGCTTCTATATGGTTTCACCAAGTCATCCCTTTATCCAGAATGACACCGAGATACTTAGCGGAGGATTCCCATAGTATACGAAGTCCATTCATTGAAACTTCAGACGGAACGCCCCGACGTCTTTTTGTACAGTAGATTGCCTGCGTTTTCGAATGGTTAATTTTAATTAGCCACTGTCATGGACTAGGCCACCAATGCAGTATCGTCAGCATAGAGATAGACTTCACAGTTGCTGGGGCTAGGGAAGTCATGGATGTACAGTGAGTAAAGGATAGGTTCAAGGACCGAATCCTGAGGGACGCCGGCTGTAATCAGCCGTATTGTCGACAAGACATTGTCAATTTTGATCCGAAACTTCCTACCTTCAAGGAAGGATTTCAGTAGTTTTAGAAGCCAAAAAGGGGAGCCCTTTTGGATTAGTTTATACAGGAGGCCCGCGTGCCACACCTTGTCAAATGCTTTTGATACATCCAAAAGCAAAGTGCCAGTACTTTCATTAAGGGTGAATCCTCTGGTTACTCGTTCCACCAGCCTAACCGCCTGTAGCTCCGTACTATGTTCAGACCGAAAACCGAATTGCACGTTAGGAATCACATGGTGATCTGACGAGAAATTCTCAAGGAGTCGTAGAATCACCTTTTCAGCGAGCTTAGACGGAGCCGACAGCAGGCTAATGGGACGATAATCCTGGGGAAATATCGAACCTACCTTCTTTGGAATCATTATAACGGGATGAATGCCTTGCTTGAGACTTTATCGGAAGTTATTAGTTAATGTCATGGAAAAAACTTCTTTCAATCTGCTCTCATCTAGTGTTGCTCTCACTTGAAGCATTTGATTACAAACTGTTATATATGTACCTCAATAATAAACGAAACGATATTTGGTTTAAATTTTATTTACCGTAATCTCATACTCTAAACATTTTTTTATCAAAATGATTCTGCTGAATGCCTGAGCACACCGTACGTATTAATAATTATTGGTAATATTTGGTGGTATTTTGAAAATCTAAAATCGTTCAACCCTCAACGCCCCCCCCCTCACTGCACCTGGAAAGTTATTTTGTTCAAGTAGTCTGTAGAATGACTCCATTTAGTAAAAATTATCGTTGGAAAAGGCTGATCACTAAACGCATTCACATTGTGCATTTTCAGCAAATGAAATTTGGAAACAGTGACACTCAGACTTTTCTGATCTACTGCCACAAATATACTTTATATATACGAGTACATATGTATCTATTGCATTGGTATGTCTATTGCTTGCCGGTTATGAAAGTCCATGTACCCTGGCATAAGGCCATAGAGTAGAACGAATATCAGTGAAATATGTATTGTTGATTTGGCAAAAATTAAATCATGGGCTTTAAATACGCATGTTTTATAGTAACTGAGGCGATTTTCAAAAACCACAAAGCATTTTCGTCTTTGGCATAGTGAAAAGTTCATCAAAATCCGAGCGATACCTTCCACGTCAAAGACGGGCCAAAGACAATTTTTTTCGTGATCAAAATATTACTTCGCCAGAGGCGCGGAAAGTAAAGAGCAACATACTTTTAAATAGTATCTAAGCTTTGTTTTCCAACTTTGTGTGAAGTGTTGCGTATTGGTAGCCAATAATTTTTTCGGAGAGGATACATTATTTAATACTTCCAAGTTGTGTTGTTCAATGTTTTTTTAGGGCCTGTCAAAACATTGTTGAAGAGGGTTAGTCAATTTTGTAATTCAGCAAGCTTCATCTTCTGTATTTCATAATGATGATATTTGCGTATTAATATCGTCATTTTATTTTGGTACAGGTTCAAAACTTCATAATTTATACATACGGAGCATTTGAAAGTAGATGGATATGAAAGCGTGGAAAGCAGACTACTTGGCACCATTTTTTTAATATTAGAAGCATCAAAAAGTGCAGATAAACAATATCAAATTCAAATCAAGTGCCCTTTGAGATTCCACTCGTTATCCGAAAATCTGCATAACTTACTTGCCTTTGTCGTGTCTTCCTGTTTCCGTCCTTTCCCTATAAAGAAATAGCAGCCAGAAGTAGTGCATGTTGTCTACGATAAGCATATCCTCTTGCTAACAAAAAGGCCTTGATCATACGTTATCATACATAGATAATGTTTTTTCCAACAACAGCAGATGCGTAGTTTCTTCAACTGGGATAGGCATTTAATATAATATATCAATTTATAAACTATTTTCTGATTCTGTATTATATTGTGGCTTTATACTAGCTTTTATATAATATCCATTGAAGCTTACATAGAAATTGAAAGATCCAACTAGATTGCTTCTACTAGTACTAAAATTCCCTTGGTAGATTTTTGTAGAGTACACGTATATATACCAATACTGTCGATAGGAGGTAAACTATTCTTGGAAACTTCTGCAGAAAGTGACACTGATAGTAAACTAGGAAACTATAGCTGATTTACATCCCGCCTATTTGCTTAGGCCGAACAATTGCCGACTCAAAGATTTGCCGATTAGGTCACAATCAATTACGGAATAAGTATGCAGATATGCTCACCTCACTTCAGTTCACTCGTTTTTTATTATCGATGGCTACATTTGAGCGAAGCTTCAAGCACTAAGGTAATTTTGGGGAATCATAGTGAAAAAATTCTAAAGTGACATCGGACCAGATCTGGGGTGAAGTATACAACAGAATCAGAAAACATCCATCTAAAACCTAGATCATAGATGCGTAATATTTTTTGGAAATTTTTCATTGATCGTTTTTTGACAAAGTGGAATTGTTCTCAGTATCTCGCAAACGAGGCATTTCCGGACTGAATAGGTCCCGGATTCGGTTCCAGCGACCCGAAATACGTATTATGGTTGTGTTCACGGTCCGACTGACCCGACTTTTGTGCTGCTAAAAACCCAGTTTTATTATACGAGTAGATAGCAACATGTGAGCGAAACACTTTACAATAAGGGAATTTAGGGCGTTGGATTTGGGACGAAAAATTGGTAAAGAAACTAGTTGGGGCTACATGTGAGTATTAGCGCTAAGATGACATCGAATTTAGAATATACGCATCGGAGTATTAACAATAGGTTAACTCAGATTATATGGCCAAGACAAGCAAGTTGATAAAGACAGGCATAAATGTAGAAGACTCACTCATACGTTGATGAAAGGGTTTTCAAGGCGGCGAGACAAACGTATGTCTGTTATCTTACACAAACGTCCGAAGATAGAGGCATATTGCTTAAACATGTTTGTGTGAGGGAGATGTACTTATGTATGAAAGTAATTTTTCGGTTCTAGCGTGACCCGCCAAAAACCTTGTAAACCGCAAATAATAGCTACATTGATTATCGATATTTTTACGGCTTTTCGTTTCGTAACCTCCACACCACCAAAAAACTAATTTACATGATAATTAGCCAATTAATAGATTGTTTCTAGTAAAAACAGCACATTCCCACGACGGACAACGACTTAACGAGTCAGCGTTAAAAGCAGAAACCTCAAATAAATTTTTCCTGGGTTCCTTTATATGGCCATAACAGAAGCGCAGACAAACAAACACCATCTGCGGTTTCGAGTAATTTATCACAATTAAAAATAATCGCTTTCGATACTTTCACTATTTAAAGAAGCAATTTCAAAGAAACGGACGACCAGAAAAGTTACCATGTGGTAAATAATAGCAGTCTCTTATCTGACAGTTTGTCAATTAAAGAAAATGCAATTCTAGGAAACGCAGAAAGAGTGTTGTAGTCATTTCAGTTGTGATTTTCATCTTTACTATTCTTGGCATTCAGCTTAGCGGAAAGGCAAGAAATAGGCAAGGCATTCAGTTTATGATTGAACCTACATCATTAGCGATGCGTATGCTATGTCTTTGATAAACGACCGTATTATAAAAAATGTAATAATCTGTTTTACAACGGAATATTATTTTTGAGGCTAAACGAAAAGGCAATGAAGTTTCCTGCATAAATTATTTATCAAATGTCATAGTTGGAAAAATAACTTTTCGCATATAGGTACTCGTATTCGAATAGTTATGAATTACTGGTGCAAGTGATCGAAACAAAGTGGTGCGAGATGAAACCTAGAATTTAAATGCTTTCAAAATGAGCTTATAACGTTTAACTTATAACTTCTCGCATATATTCGAATAGTGAATTACTGGTATAAGTGATCCAAACAAAGTGTTGCGAGATGAAACCTGGAAATAAAATACTTTCAAAATGAGCTTTATACGGTGAATTTTCTGTAACTATTAACTTGTTATTACAAAAGAATCTCAAAAATCGCCGATCTGTATATTTATTTCTTGCCAGAAAATGAGTAATAGTAAATCTGATATAATAGCCAAAGCCTTTGTAGCGATCCACATAAAGAAAAATCTATTGAAAAATGCATAACGGCTTTTCTAGCCAATAGCCTATATAGTACATAGCACTTGGCTTGAACGAGCATAGAGTACCATTCACGCACAGAACGACAGATATACTAAGTGACATATAAATCCGAACACCCAGTTTAAATGGTTTTATTTTAATAAAAGTTGGTGAATGTATTTATCTTACTGTAAATAACAAGTGAAAAAATTTTTAGCCTTATCAGTTGGACATTCCGGTTTTTATACTGCTTTTTTTTAATGCACTAACGCTCTAAAAATGAATATTTCAGCCGCAGTAAAGAATCAACGTTGGCGGATTTTGGTTCTTGACATCCTTTACGATCGGTTACGATGCCTAGAGTACGGAGACCTGTACGATTTCGTCAACTTAGTGAGTTTGATAGGGGCCGTATAGTGGGACTTCGGGAAGCTGGACTTTCTTTTCGGGCAATTGCAGTTAGAGTGCAAAGAAGTGTAGACACTGTGGTCAGGTGTTGTCAGGCATGGCTTCGAGAAGGCTGTACGCAAAGAGCAAGGGGCACTGGACGCCGCCGTAGAACAACAGACCGTGAAGATCGCCGCCTAAGATTATTGGCCTTAAAGGACCGTTTCTCCACTACCAGGTCCATTGCAAATGAATGGTTTGCAGAACACGGAAGACCTATTGGCATGCGAAGTGTTTACCGACGAATGAGAAGTTTTGGCTTGTTTTCATACCGGCCACACTGGGTCCTCCCTTTAACTCGAGAACACCGACGTAATCGCTTTGAGTGGTGCAGACAACGGTCACTCTGGGATCAGGAATGGAACAGTATTGTCTTTAGTGACGAGTCTCGATTTTGTTTAGGCATGCACGATGGTCGTGCCAGGGTTAGAAGGCGACGTGGTGAAAGGAGGAATCCACAGTTTTTTGTTGAAAGACATGTTCATCACACTGTTGGAGTTATGGTCTGGGGTGCTATAGCTTATGGTTCCAGGTCACCTTTAATCTTCATCAGAGGTAACATGAACGCGCAGCGTTATATCCACGAAGTTCTAGAACCCCATCTTTTACCATATCTTGACACCCTGGCAGATCCAACTTTCCAACAAGATAATGCCCGACCACATGTTGCAAGAGTCACAATAGACTTCTTTCAACATAATGATGTCACATTGTTACCATGGCCACCAAGATCTCCCGACTTATCCCCAATTGAGCTCGTGTGGGATATGATGGGTAGGAGATTGCTCAATTTGCAACGTCCTCCTCAGACTCTAGAAGCACTTCGAGAGGAGTTGGTGGTTGCCTGGAATGAGATACCACAGGAGGACATTGACCACCTGATCAGAAGCATGCCTAGGCGTGTTGGAGAATGCGTAGCACATCAGGGTGCATCCACACATTATTAAAGGTCAAAGGGCTTTAAAGCAGTGTAATCATTTTGAAATATTTATCATTTACTTATTATGCTACATTAAGTACTTATACAAAATTTTATTAAAATAAAACCATTTAAACTGGGTGTTCGGATTTATATGTCACTTAGTATATTATTGGTGCTCTGCGGCTATCAAACGCATGGCTACGCATGAAATCCATCACACCATAACATATTATAGACATCTGCTTTATTATGCTATGTGTTATTTTTTTAGCTTAATGCATAACCGGGTGTGCTAATTATTAAGCTTCAAGTACGCTGTGGCAAATTTCGTACATCAAATCTTCATCTTTTTATGTAAAGCTTTGCAGTGGACCCGGAAATATTAATAACGTTGAACGTTGAATAAATGGTAAAAAGACCTTTCAAATTATGTACTACAAGTCCTACATCTCATTTTAAAATTTAAGGGTTGTAACTCCCCCCCCCCTTGGGAATTCGGTTGCACATTAAAATTTCTATAGGGGGGTCAGGGGGTTCATGGCACTGGGATTCAAATTGAGCCATGAAATTTGCATACTTAGCATGATTTTTTGTACAGTTTTGAAGATTTTTAGAGGTTTGCCCTACAATAATGTTTGAAAAAAATACTTCTGGAATATAGGTCTAAAATTCGGAGCATGAGAGTTCTACCGTCTTAATAAGCACCTATACTCTACAATTGATGGTTCCATTTTTCACGTTTTTCAGGTGAATCCAAATCTAGCAAACAAGTAAGATGTATGGAAAATGGAAGATTCTATCGAGATCCAGGAAGATTAGCTCACACCATGTGGACCTTAGAAGAATGTTCCAGATACTTCCTTTGCCTGGATGGTGAAGTTTTTGAGTTCAGGTGTTCGATTGGTCTTCTATTTGACGTTAACCGTCAGATATGTGATTTCAAACTGAACGTTGATAACTGTGATATTACTACTGGTAAGAATAAAATGGCTTGTATTCAATACTATGCATTGTCCTAGCCCTTATCACTTTTTATGTTTAGATGAACAAACATTGTTAGAAAAATAGTTTGGACTATGAACTTAATATGCTGCTCTGTTGGACTATCTCCCTTTACTTATCTATCGGGGTAGATTTAAAAGGGGACTGCAAGTTATACTATACCACTATGGATGCTACGTGTAAGCAAGGCCATCAATTTAAATTTTTCAATAAGTGACGTACCATTGAAAGGTCTCTTCAAATTATAAAAGATCTATCAAGGCGAAGAGTGTGAATTAGGCTGAAGAGTGTATTGATTTTAGGCCTTTCTATTTCAGTTACGGAAAAATATAAGTATAACATTTTGCCAAGGATTAATTGGGAAAAGACCAAATATTAATATTTATCCATAATGTTAACATTATGGATTCTTTCAGTCCATTTTTTCAGTTTAAATGCTTTTCGTCTCACCCCTTTCCAGTGCACAGAATATACTCTAACTCCCTAAAATGATTCAAGGGGTGTTTTGTTTGCTTCTAAAAAAATTGATATGAAGGTATGTTGAAAAATGTATAGGTTTCATAATACGATGTCCAACATGTTCAAGATATTATATTAATCTAATATACCGAAAACTGTTAGGCCGATTATAAGTTTGCCAATAGCTGATGGTCCGATTCAACTGATGTTAGATTTGAGTCAGCTTTTCCAAAAGGCTCCATACATTTTTCAATCATTAGTTATTGATTGCCCATACTCGTTATCCCTTGGTTACTAGAATACAGTCTCTGAAACTGGAAGTACCAAAAAGCTTCCAAGTGCTTTCGGTGATACAACTACAACTTGCATCCTCATTTGTGTGCGCAGATTATAAAGAAATAATTAAAACATATAGTACAGTATTGGGTGGTTTTCGATAGAGAAAAAAACACATTTTTTCATATTTCTTAACCATCGAACTGATAGACCTATAATACAGACTCGAATCCCAAGCAAGATCGAAAATATCAGATTTAAGCCGCATTTCATCTTAGGTTTAAATTTTGCATGTTACATATGGCACTCTTAGGCCAAGAGAACGCTCTGGGAAAACTTCTCGCTTTACATTTAAACCAATGAATAGGGTTGTATGGGAAAGTACTTGCGCGGTGTGTTCAGAAAATAACGGGAATCATCGTCGCCTCCAAAATAGTCCCTATAAAATATTATGCATTTGTACAAGCGCTTCTTCCAATCATCGAAACACTTCTCAAACTCAATCTTTGGGATAGCGTTTAGTTATTTCAGCGATGCGCGTTTAATGTCATCTATGCTTGTAACTCGACAGCCTTTAAGATTCTCCTTATTTTTAGAAATAATAAAAAGTCATACGAAGCCATGTCTGGCTAATATGGAGGCTGGGGAACCGTTACAGTATTGGTTTTGCCCCAAAAATTCACGAACAAGCAATGAGTGTGCGCATCATACTTCAGGGGCGTGTATACTAAGATAATAAGAAAAATAACAAACGGAGTCTCAAACTTCGCCAAATTTGAACTAGTGACAAAAGTAAACTGCATCCCATCTTCAATTCTCAATAATCATACGAGGAAAAAATCCATCGTAAAGTGACTCATGCACAACAACTGTTCCTACTTTTACAGAAGTAGTTATACCGAAACCACTCCTGGACCAAGTGGAATGTTCAGAGAAGGATCACTTAGCCTGTGCAGACAGTACCTGCTTACCGCAAGAGTATTTTTGCGATGGTTCTATGGACTGCCCAGATGGCAGTGATGAGGCATATTGCAACGTGAAGGAGGATCCTAATGGTGCCAAGCCCTGTGATAGAAAGAAATGCAGCTTGCCTGGATGTTTTTGCTCTGAGACTGGTAAGTAATACCTTGGAAAACAAATATCAAAAGTCGAAATGGTTTCTTTCAAATCCAAAACCTGCCGCAAATCGATATTAAAGAGACTTGCTACTTGTTCGAGCAATTGTGTGCTATTGTACAAGTCAAAAGTTTAAAGCTTGTTAGAGCAACCAATGCGAATGCATCGTTATATCCTTAGAGGTGAGATTTGTTTATCGCGACTTCACTGTATACAAGATCTAGACAAGATCCACTTTGGAGTACTGCCTCTGTCTAGACTCTCTTCTACCAGTGTGATCTCAGAATTTGTTCCTCTGGGTTCTTCTTGGTGCCACTACGTTCTAGACCTATCAGACGGATCCGTACTAATTTTGCCTCTCGCCCTGGTACGACCGGTCCTACGTTCTTAAAGTACTCAAGGTGTGGAACAAGAAGCAGCTTTCACCAGTTTTACTAACCACAAATAGTTGGAAAATCGGATCGAGAATATATTCTCAACTTATCTACAGCATCGGAATTCAGATTTTACCTTCCAAGCTGTACCAGCATAAAATGTTAGGAACAACACTGGGAACATTGTATGCTAGTAGAATATCGTTAAGCGTAAGAACACAAAAACTTCGGAAGCCAAGTTCACTAAATGGATTTTTAGTGGAATGCGTTCAAAATACTGTACCTAGTCATTTTGTGCCTTATTTATTTTCAAATGCTTTTGGTTTTCAAAAATTTCATGTTTCATGTATTGTTACGGTTATTCAACTTTTGGATCTCATTAACCCGAACAGAAAAGTCCATCTAAACTTGTACTCTGCGGCATTTGCTGAGCTACAGGCTTGTTTAAGTTCATTACTTTGGACTCAAATAGCGGTAAAATACTATGCTAGTAGAATACCGTCAAACGCAAAAACACAAAACCCAGGTTCAGTAAACAGATTTTCGAGATTTTTAGTGGAATGCGTTACCTATTCATTTTGAGCGCTTATTTATTTTCAAGTGCTTTTGGTTTTCAAAAATCCCATTTTGTGTGTATTGTGATGTTATTCAGGCTTTAATACACCAGCTGTTGGATCTCATTAACCCGAACAAAAAAGTTCATCTAAACTTGTGCTCTACGGCATTTATTTACTGAGATACCGGCTTGTTCAAGTTCATTACTTTTGATTCATATATTTCCAATTTCTCTTAAATTACTTGAGTGGTTTAGATGAAAATCTGTGAATTGACGGTAGGCATTAAGGAATTTAATTCGTATCGGTTATTTCCGACTCAATTATCCGAGGGGCGGAGCTAATAAATTTGAACAGGGTATTTCAGGGGTTAACTAAGCATCCTACTGGTTTCCTTGTTAGTGTGGTCAATGGTCTTTCAGACGAAAACATATTTTTTCTTGCTTGAAAGCAAGTAGTTTTTGAGCTACAAATACTGGGATGTATTTGACTTTATAAGGATAAAACTCCGATGGATGAACTGAAGCTTTCTAGGGACATTTTACAGCCTCCCGTTTAGTTCACTGAGTTTCAAATTCCATAATTTTATGGTACAAACTTTGAAATTGCTTATTAACAAGCAATTACAATTTTTTGTTCATATAAAGTCACTAGATCATATCTGCAAAGAAACCAGTGTGGCGTGCTTAGTTAAAATCCGAAATACCTGGCTAAAATTTCACAGCGCCACCCCTGGATACTTTAGTTGAATATAACCAGTACGAATTGAGTCCCTTATAATGTCTACTATCGAAATCCTGTAACACACACTATATAATTTAAGAGAAATTAAAAATATCAACTTTAGATGAAATGAGCTTCAATTTCGATAAAAAAGCCGTAAACTTCGAAACTTGACATTGGCACTTTTTTGTTCGTTTCATTGAGATATATCAACCGATCAACGTTATGATAGTCACTATTCAAATGGATGATAGAAGGGGTTAAAAGAAGCAAAAAGTTTCATATAACATGGGGGTCAAAACGGCATTTTTTTGAGAGAAAAGCAACTAAAGTAAAATAAAATCTGACAACGCCGGAATGCCATACACAAATTACGACGGAACGCAGTGTAAATAAAGATGGAGTTTGTTAATTTTTGGCTCTTAGGTATTATTTCATTAATTGATAATGTACTCGTAAAATGCAAACAATTAAAAAAAACGGACTTAACACTAACTGTCTCAGCGCTTCACCTGGTGTGTGAAAGTTTATTGAACGTATTAAAAAAATCCACTTTTAAATAGGGAACACAATTTTGATATAAACATTGTTTTTCTTTTTAAAACATACTGCACTTTTTTTGTATTTAAAGAAGGTGTTCAAAATGTCGTCCTACACTTTCCACACACGCTTCATTACGACGAACACAGTTTCTTCTTATTCTAGGTCCTCGAAGTTGTCCATTTATTATTTCAGCCGCATTAATTTTTTTTCGCGAAGTTGTGTTTCAGTTGTTATTGGACCAGCCCCATAAACCATCCCTTTAAGTTCTCCCCAATACCAGAAATCCATCGGATTGAGGTCAGGAGATCTTGCTGGCTATTTTCGAGGATCAGGAGTATTTCGACCGATCCAGCGATTTGAATAATGGTCATTCAAATACTGAATGACGCCTCTAAAAATGTGTGGTGGTGCCCCGTCATGAAGAAAGCACAAATTCTTTCTCCGTTGTAATGGCATGTTGTCTAAGGTCTGTTCTAAAAGTTATAGTATGTTATTGGCTAGAAAGCTAAGGTATCCTTCTCCTGTCAACTTTGGGGGTAACTCGAAAGGGCCAATTACCTGATCGTCAAGAATACCCGCCCAAATATTTATTTTAAAACGTTGTTGGAAATTACCTTGACGAATGGTATGAGGATTTTCTTGGGCCCACGTGTGAGTATTATGGAAATTTAATATCCCGTCTCGCGTAAAATTACATCCGTCCGTCGCTAGAATGTTTTTAAAAAAATCCGGATTTTCAATATTTTTGTGCAAAAGCCACTGACAGAATGTTAGTCTGCGAGGAGAGTCTTCTGGTAACAAGGCCTCCACTCGTTGTACATGGTAGGGATTTTGTGGACTATGGTATGCGATAGACCGAGTTGCTGATTTCCGCGGCATATAAAATTTGTTCCTCCTGCTGAACACTTCCTGTATCTCGAAGTCTTTGGTACACTTGCACAAATGTCCTTTTGTCTGGGTGTACCCGTTGGCGAAATCTGTTGCGATAAATTTGAGCTGCAAGATTTGAATTCTGACGAGCTTCACCGTAAACTAACATGTCGGCGAACTCTTAATTGGGTCTTTTTGACTTGTTTTGACCCCCCTATTACCCATTTCAATAATGACTACCATAACGTATTGTGAACCTAACTAACCGCTTACATAAATAAACAAAACTTAAAAAACAGTTGATATTCAACAGGTCATTAAGTTACTGATTGGAAAACCTTTTAATGCACAAAATTTTGAAACCATTTCTCTTAAAATTTCAAAAGTACATTTAGTGGGACCGAGTTTCGAGGTTTAAGCTGGAGAGCACTCCACTAGGTGCTTAGATTTTTGTGTAATATAATAGTTTTTTTTATATTTCAGGTACTGAAGTACCTGGAGGCCTTCAAGCCTCACTGGTGCCTCAGATGATAACGCTGACCTTCGACGATGCAATAAACAATGAGAATTGGGACATCTACAAAAGAATATTCAACCCAGCCTATCGAAATCCCAACGGCTGTCCTATAAGGGCGACGTTCTTCGTCAGCCATCAGTACAATAACTATTATTACACTCAGAAGCTGTGGAATGATGGACATGAAATGGCTATACATTCCGTAACGTAAGTTCAGGGTCAATAGCAAGTCTTTCGCATACACATAGTGCGGGAATTTGTAATAAAAAATGCTATCAACAGGTCGTAAAGGAGTATGTTCGACAAAAAGTAAGCCCTTCTGAGAAAAAGGTAAGCGACGAACATGTTAACAAAAGATTAAATGACGCTCCCCCGTCTTCTGAGAGGGAGTCCTGGGGGTGTATATGATAGTTGGTATGACTAATGCCACGTGGATGAAGTTACTGACTTGTACAGCATACAGCCCAAAACATCACGGAAGCGACTGCTGACTGCGACCATCAGCCGGACCACGTCACACATATCGACACCCGACTGTTGCAGATATTTTAGGGTAAATGACGAGTGAAATATGTCTAATCGGTGCACAGAAGTCCTGGGGCTGCAGGCATATAAATATAGCAACAAAAATACCCTCCACCCCCTGCAACCCCTAACCCCCTATTTTAAAACCCCAAAATTTATTTCCGAAAATGATTAGCTTGAGCAATACAATACTTTTTGGCAGTAGGCGTGGGAAGTAAAAATGCACATAAAATCAATCTCCTAAGATAAATGATAGGTTAGCATAGATTTAGGATTTCAGAGATCATCAAACAAGCTTGTCGTAGAAGCTGCATAGCTTTTACCAATAAACGTGAATTAAAGGAGAACACTTGAACACTTCTATGAACCATCTTATATCGAAACACGATCGCATTAGTAGCTAAGCACCTTGGTATTTTTCAGCCGTCAACATGCAGGTTAAATGAGAATTAAATACTACATTAATTTTCAAGCCTAGTTTCAATGCTTTTGTTATTAAATATTTCTGTTGATGGAAATACACGAAATTTTGTAAACTCCAGACGATAACTAATTTTATACAGTATAATCTATGCAAAACATCGCCTGTAAAAGCTTGACCAAAGGAAGGAATCTTTGATAGGTAGATCTCCATCTCCAAAGGCGTTGTGGGAGTCGTTAGGAAAAGCTATTATAGCTGTTGATAGCTTATAAAAATTTCCCATCGTCAGGTCTATCTGCTTTATAGTTCCATATCAGAATATCAGGCCGCTTTCTTATCAACGAATGGTGAATCACAGAAATTTAACTTTACTTTAAAGTTGTTTTTATCATTTCAACAGCTGTGAGAATCTTATTTTAGTTTCAAGTACTTAATTTACATTTACTATTGTAAATTTATACATATCTTTTTTTTAATTTCATGATCCTTAAATGTGCCCACCCTTTTTGTGTTATTCAGTATATGATGGTCTGGTATTAATATTTCGTCAAGTAGATTGAGTATTTATTACGCAATGATATACAACAGACACGGACTGACAAAACCGGTTTCAGAGATTTCTGTTCATTTTCAGGCATTGTTTGTAATTAACTTATTTGAGTACAAACTACAAAAACCAATCGCAGGCCGCCATACCTCGTATAGTTTTTATATTATTAGCTAGACTAAAATGTCCGATTTCGGATTATTGTTGAAAAATTACAAAAATTTAACTATTTATTTTTCCCTACACGTATATAAGGTGGAAATTGCCGCATTTTGGCTAAATGAGAAATTCCCAGTCTAACAGACCCGCATTCAAAATACCATCAATGTTTTTAGGCACAGGGGTCCAGAGGAGTGGTGGTCACATAACGCCACTATTGAGGACTGGTTCGACGAGATGATCGGACAAGCAAACATCCTCCATCGATTCGCGTCCGTCCGAATGGAACAGATCCGTGGCTTGAGGGCCCCTTTCCTTAGGGTCGGATGGAACAGACAATTCCTTATGATGAAAGAGTTTGGATTCATGTACGACAGCTCGATTGTGGTGCCATTCTCTAACCCTCCATTGTGGCCATACAGTTTGGAGTACCGGATACCACACAACTGCAGCGGTAGGTACCATCAATTCTCGTGATATTTAAAGTACTATAAATCCTCCCAGTCGAAAGAATATACTATATTTTGAAGAGTCTTACATCAAACAGCCACAGCGCAAGTTATCAGAATGATAAGTAAAAGAAAAAGACGTTTTTAATACAAGGATTTGTTTATTTGTTGTGGAAAGAACAAAACTTAAAAAATAATGTTTCATATTGGACATTTGTTCTTTTATAATTTTTAACCTGCAAGCGATAATGAAGCTTGTATTCAGAAAACGCGTGCTACACCGTTTTTTCACTTTTTGTTGAAATGTAACATTTGCAACTTTTATTTGATAACATGAGACGGAGCTTAATAAGCTTAATACGTATGAAACAGCATCTTTTAACTAATTTAAATAAATATATTTATTTCTTTTCTCCTGTTTCTTCTTTTCGATATACCATACCTCCTGGATAGAGGATAGCTGCTATGGCTTTTTTTTCAGAAAATGATCAACTGTGTCCAACGAGATCCTACCCAGGAGTATGGGAGCTACCTGTCAACCAGCTGGAGGCCAGTAACTATTCGTGCGCCATGATTGATTCTTGTCCAAACATTGCTTCATCCAATGATGTATATAAGCTCTTGATGCATAACTTCAAGAGGCACTATCTCAGTAACCGGGCCCCTTTTGGGCTCTACTTCCATGCTAGGTGGTTCAAAAATCCAGACTTTTTGGTTGCTTTTCAGGTAAGAGGAGAAATTCCGCACAGTGTTACCTCATGTTGCATAATTTTAAAAGGATAAACCAGAAATTATATGAGGAAGTCCAAAGATTATTGTCCAAAGACGAAGATTTTTCTCTACCTTAAGCAGTGCTGATTTTGTGTCCTATTTTGATTTGGAGCAAGTCCAAGATATATAAAAAACTGTTCCAGATACTGACCATTTTAGAGTATCCACCATTTTGTTAACATGTATGCCAAATGCCCTGGCACTTTTACTTATGGGCCACATTGCTACAACCTTCATGCAATGCGAGACAAGTCCCTAGGTTATCTCTCAGCACTTCTATTTGGTTTATTATTCATCTGCTGAATACGAAAGTATTGACGTGGGTATGAAAACCTTTTCATAACACCAGAGTGACTGGCACTCTTAACCAAACATTAGGTCTATATATTTTAATATTTGGGTTAGAACGACGGATGTCCCACAATAGTACGTATCATATCTTGGTGACGAAGTATGCCATTATTGGGTATGTATAGAATTTTTTCGCTACTAACTGTGATATATTACATTTGGTTTGATTAGACTTTGAAACGTAGCTTATCTGAAAATTTTCTGATCGTCCGGCAACACTGTCCAAGTAAAGCACACAAAATGTCTGTAACAGAACGGTGCATACGAACGTGAGGCACGGTGCTGCTACATGGTAAGTCCGACAAAAATAGAAGACGCCGCACAACCATTCATTTTTAAGTGTTCCAATTTAACAAGTAGCTTGGACTTTCTGGTTGGTCAAAATAATGGCATAAATGAATACAATAAATAGTAATAATTTAGTGACAAAGCTCTGAATTGATTTGTAGTAAAGAATATTATTAGTAATTTTCAAAAATGGGTAAAGAATTCATTTAATATCAGCGACAATTCTGTGCACAATAAGCCAAGGAAGCTCTACACGAATGCACACACTCGTTATTTACCTAGCACTTTTTTCATCATCAGTATTTACCAAGGGGAAAAATGTAACTTTATCTTATACGAATGGCATTAAATAATGTCAATTCCTCAGGTTAGTAGTGAAAAAATGCCTTGTCCTTCTTCTGACCAAGATAAGCTCACACTTGGACAGATACTTGATCAAAAATTATAGAAACCGTCAGTTTCTAGTCATTATCCAAATATCAAAATACAACAATAAAACAACCAGAGTAATTTTAAAAACTAACTTATATTATTCTTCTACAGAAATTCGTGAAAGAAGTACTAGAAAACCCAGACGTCTGGTTCGTGACTAACTGGCAAGCCTTGCAATGGATCAAACATGCCAGGACGCTGAATGAACTGAACTCCTTCGAGCCTTGGAGGTGTACGAGAAAGATTGCTAAGTCAGAAAGGGCCTGTAACTCGCCGAATACTTGCAAAGTGTACAGCAGGGTCTTTCAGCAGGACAGGTACCTGACCACGTGCGCGAAGTGTCCTGCTAAGTACCCTTGGATTAGGAATGAGTTCGGATTAGACTGATTTATAGGATTGGCTTTAGATTCCTACTGACAGATGCCGTCCAGGATAGCCAAACAAGAACCCTTGACTTCATTATAGTCTTTGGGAGCCATTGAGCCTTTATATGTCTCCTCAATTGAAATGCAGGAAATTATTAGGTACCTATAGGAGTATATACCTAAGTGATCAGGTCACGCTATCCAAATCGTGATTGTTTGACCGACATATTTAAAAATGATTGCCGAGTTGTACAGCGTTTATACAACATACCTTCCTAAACACTGGATTGATTATGATTTCATTTTAGTCCTTTTCGGAAGTCATTTTTTGTGAGCATACATTCTCCAAATAATGTAATAAATATTTATTGAGATCCGTTTTAGTAAAGAAAAAATAATTTCGAGCAGTTACTGAACCTAAAGGCAGTATTTAAAAATATTACCATAAAACCAAACTAAGCATGCCAAATCCTTCAGAGATGAGAACGCTGACAAGTCTAAGCTTTGCAGTATGGTTACGGGTGTGCTGATATGTGCTTTAAGTTTTATTCTGGCAATTGAAAAAAATGTGAAGCAGAACCTTTTGAAAAAATATCATGTGAATCGAATCGTGGTTATACTTAAAAATAGCGACCACAAGACATTCGTTTGAGCATATATCTATGTTTGGGTTTGAAAAACGAGTAAATTGAGCTACGAAAAGTTAAAATCGACTTACGGTAACGATCACGGTTTTACAATTACCACGATTTTCTACACTTATATAGGTACCTAATAATTCCCCGCATTCAAACCGAAGGGACATATAGGGGCACACGTTACCTTTGTAGCTGCTTCCAGACTACTAGCCAATATTCCCATGTTAATAATAATGCGTTCTAAGCATACTTCGCAAGTAGACAGTGGCAGTACTCCGGTATCAAGGCTGTCTTTGCTACCGCTTTACATACAAAAGACGAATACGTCTTCAGGAATATGGATCAGTCAAGGAATGTTTAGTAAGTTTTGAAATAGATAACTGAACATAACTGTATCTTCGAGACAAAAGGGGCCAGAGTGGTATTCTACTTATTCAAGGATCAAGCAGGCCAAAGAGATCTGATGCCTTCTTACTCCCATTATTGATCACGTATTCTACATGAAGGTAGCCAGCCTAATGCTACATTCGCGCGTCAAAAAAATTACCCGATATTAAATGATATACCGTAGCGACAATTTGTCATCGCTGTTTCTCTATTTACTATATATACTTTGCAGAGGTTAGTGTCACATAGATGACGCTACATGAGCATATACAAACATATAGGTACTACAGTTGTTATCTATGAGACACTAACGTTTTTACAGTACATTTAAAAACAATACAATATTCCCTAGTAACATGGGTCCTGGAATGGTGCCATTACCAAAATACGGGTTCGAATGGAATTTTGCAATTATATTTATTGCTTCATTGAGTTACTGTAATTACTGGTTGTAGTTGTGAATAAATATGTTTGTTATTATTATTTTAAATTTCTATGCCACTGACGCTATGGTGAAATACGATTACTCTCGTAATACGCAGCTTAATATTTTCAAAACCAGTCTTGAAATTTTTATATGGATGTCACCTTAAATATTCAAACCAATTTTTTCTCCAAAAGGAATAGTCCAACAAACATTTTTTAAACGAGCGAAACATATAAAATTGAATAATTTGATCAACAATGCAATAGATTTCCTATCAAAATCAATGGCATGGAATTTTTTTTTTCTGTAGGGGTTAAAATTTATCAATTTCTACGTCACAGGTATAGCTTCAAAAACAAAAACGTATTTATGCTCTGGCTATATGACGCTAGTACTAATGTATAAAATTCTGTGTCAACATCTTCATTTACACCAAAGATATATTTTTTCTAGATTTCGACATCATAACTTCAAGACATTGTATCATGGTGGGAACGTCTTAGGACCCATGTTTATATGCACCTCTCGTGTTGCTTTTTGCCCTACTTTATGCTCTAGACACACTGCCACGTTTTCCTAAATCACCCTGTATATGCGAGCTGGCATTTTTATTTAAAGTTTATCGCCTTTTCTTCTGGCAGGTTTTTATTGACATTAAAGTTCGATAAAAGAGGTGATGTGAAGACGATCTTACAATAGAGAGCTGAAGAGCCCACCAGTCTTCAGTTTTCCCAAAATGTACATCTATACTTCTAGTACCATAAGCTGTATCAAAAGACTCCTATTAGTACAAAATTGGTTTAACTATTGACGTTGGTAGACATTAGAAACCGCATACATGTTCTAGAGTATCCTTACGAGCTACATATCATATTTTAACATTAAGGATTGTCCACTGGTATTGTGATAACTTCATTCACAATCTATGTTAACCAATAGATAGTTGAAGATCAGGATACAAAGTGTCAATATAGTTGTAGGTTATGTTACTGATTCAGGGTGTAAGAGGTTGATAGCTCTATTAGTCTGAAATAATAACAATAAATAAAATATCTTAAAAAATAATTACAAAAATGGTAGGCAACAACATGCTCCTCACTTGGAGAATACGCCGCTCTCTACAGAGTGATTTATAACCACGCTGCAACGCAAACTCTTTTTTAAATTTCAGTATATTTTGAAGGTCCTTTTAAGTGGAAGAAGATATGGAATACTGAGCTTGGATCACTGCTTCTAGAGCTACAGGATATTTTATCCGAACTCGACTCTGACGCAGACAGAGTAGCTAAAATGTACCATAAGCTGTATCAAAAGACTCCTATTAGTACAAAATTGGTTTAACTATTGACGTTGGTAGACATTAGAAACCGCATACATGTTCTAGAGTATCCTTACGAGCTACATATCATATTTTAACATTAAGGATTGTCCACTGGTATTGTGATAACTTCATTCACAATCTATGTTAACCAATAGATAGTTGAAGATCAGGATACAAAGTGTCAATATAGTTGTAGGTTATGTTACTGATTCAGGGTGTAAGAGGTTGATAGCTCTATTAGTCTGAAATAATAACAATAAATAAAATATCTTAAAAAATAATTACAAAAATGGTAGGCAACAACATGCTCCTCACTTGGAGAATACGCCGCTCTCTACAGAGTGATTTATAACCACGCTGCAACGCAAACTCTTTTTTAAATTTCAGTATATTTTGAAGGTCCTTTTAAGTGGAAGAAGATATGGAATACTGAGCTTGGATCACTGCTTCTAGAGCTACAGGATATTTTATCCGAACTCGACTCTGACGCAGACAGAGTAGCTAAAATGTACCATAAGCTGTATCAAAAGACTCCTATTAGTACAAAATTGGTTTAACTATTGACGTTGGTAGACATTAGAAACCGCATACATGTTCTAGAGTATCCTTACGAGCTACATATCATATTTTAACATTAAGGATTGTCCACTGGTATTGTGATAACTTCATTCACAATCTATGTTAACCAATAGATAGTTGAAGATCAGGATACAAAGTGTCAATATAGTTGGAACTTGTAGGTTATGTTACTGATTCAGGATGTAAGAGGTTGATAGCTCTATTAGTCTGAAATAATAACAATAAATAAAATATCTTAAAAAATAATTACAAAAAAGGTAGGCAACAACATGCTCCTCACTTGGAGAATACGCCGCTCTCTACAGAGTGATTTATAACCCCGCTGCAACGCAAACACTTTATTATATTTCAGTATATTTTGAAGGACCTTTCAAGTGGAAGAAGATATGGAATACTGAGCTTGGATCACTGCTTCTAGAGCTACAGGATATTTTATCCGTACTCGACTCTGACGCAGACAGAGTAGCAAAAATTTTGTCAAAGAAAAGCTTCATGTCGTATTTTAAAAATCGTGCATCATTTGTACAGGATGTTTATGAACAAAAAATGTACTTTTCTTCAAAAGAATTCTTCAAACATTGTGTATATTTCACGAGTTTGGGTGGTTCCTTTCATAAACCTTATTTTGGTAACATTTTTAAGGAGTTAAATTACTTAATTTCCGAGCTATTAGCAGTTTTCCAGTAACAAATTCAAAATAAATAAAAGGAAACAGATGACTTTTGGCTTCAACCTTCATCAAAAGCATCTTCCATCTACCAAAAATCCTCCCTTTCCACGAATCATGAGGTATTTATGAGTCACCCTATAGAGATCAGCAGATTTTCTAAGCTAGAAACGTATATTATGTTCCTATAATTTTGGTAAATAGGTTTTTCAGATGTCTTTTCTACTATCGGAGCTATCGACCAATTACTTACTAAAAACTCACACTGTATTATTATACAAGATTACAAATTATATTTACATATAGAATTTGTTGATTATGTTATACCTTTATAGCTGTAAGTTTTGTTACTGTTATTAAACTCTGTTGAGAGTATTAATAAAAAAAAAAAAATTACTCAATGAAATCAATTATTATAGTATTAATACTATCGATATGCACAATTATGCTTAATTAAATGATAGTTAGTAAATTGTCTGATATTGATAAGATACTGGGTAACGTGTTACATTGTGTTGCACGAGTGATATTTTTGTCGATAAAGTATGAAAACAGTGGAACTGGTGTTTACCTTTATGATAAGATTAGATGATCCTCGATACAGTACCTGATTCTGAAAATTCTATCGAAGTAAACTGTATCTTCAATCAAAGACTCATATAATATTAACTTCAACAATTGTGACAAGCATAGGCTCTGAGTAGCTAGGGGCATCAAACACTTTATTATTCTTAGTTCGTATCGCTTTGCGAGTTGCTAGGAATAGTTCTACTTATTATCGAGCTTAAAGCATATATATATATCTATATATATATATAAGGAAAATAACAAGATCATAACGTAACTTAACGATTCCAGACATTTTACGGAGCAAGTCTATGAATATAGTGGGGATGAAAGTCGCCAGTGTGATAGTTGTTGACATTTCTGATGGAGTTCGTATTCTTCTGCGAAAACACAAAAAAGTCTTGGTTTTCCAGACAATTGCTGAAAATAGTGAAGGATTTCTGTGAAATGGAAAAAGCCCTTTAAATGGAATAACCGATCGATAAGTGTCAATATATTATAGTCATTGGCGTTGCGAAAGGGCATGTACCTTGACGTTGGGCTATTACCTGACGGTTTTGATATATTTCAGTCAACTTTCTGTTTCTTTCAAACCAACAAAATTATCTAAGGATACTGAAAAGGTCCAACAGAAGCTTCAACTTTGAGTCTTATCTAATTTAATTATAAAACAAAAAGTTCTTAGGAAAGGTCTCTACTTT